CTTGCCAGTTGAATTTAGTGGAACCTTTTCTCTCTGAACTCATTTTGGCTCTGAGGGTCATTTGACACAGAGGACTACCCTGCTTTTGTTTTGGAAGACCCTTTTTCAATTCCACACTCTCCTATATTTCCGTCCACATCACTGGACGCTCCTTCTCAGTCTTCCTTATGGACTTCATGTTCTCTATCTTATATATAAAGATGTAGTTCCTGCCTAGAGAACTACAATGCACCTTTCAGGTTTTAAGCTTTAAATATCATTTTCTAACAGTATATTGGAGACCAGACTAGTTTAGGTCATTAAGTTGCATGTTCTTGTTACACATACACATTGTGTTTTAGTTTCATATCATGTATCACATATGACAAATTATTTTGTGTATAATTTCTTTGTTCAATGTCTTTATCCTCTTCTGGATTGTCTGTAGTGCCCATCATGTGTCCTATGTGCCTATTATAGAGCCTGGAATGTAGCAGATGCCCAATATTTGCAGAATGAATGAATTCATATGTAAGTGACTGAAAGGGTTCAACAAATGTTAGTTCTCTTTCCCTTTCTCATCTCATATTTACAGAAGCATGGATATACCAGAGTTGTGGAGTCAGAGGATACTACTATCATTTCTATAGAAGACAGACAAATTCATGGTATTATGGATGTTACCAGATGTTAAAAATTATGGAACTGTTAAAAATTTTGGAACTGCTCATAGACACCTTGTACAGGCAGTTGGAAATATAGATCTAGAACTCAGCAAAAAAGTCATAGCTAAGGACCTGGATCTTCAAATTATAAAATTTTATGTTTTATATCTTTTAAAATGTGTTGTGTTTTGCCCCTATGTGTTTTAAAATGGAGGAAAAGAGGACAACTGGGTTTCAGGGGTGAAATGCCAGGATATGAGACATAGAGTGCATCTGGTAAAAATTAAAATGATTTAAAGTCTGATCTGATTAGAAAGGGTCAGTCTTGAAAAAGTTATAAAGGAAATTGTAACACAAATACGATTGTATTTTCTTCTCTCCTTCCCCATACTTTTTGACAATAAATCCTGAGCACAGATCTAAGGGTTTTTTCCCTAGAAAAAACAGAAAAATATCCACTCAAACATAGTAGTCCTCCAAAGTCATGGTACGTGAAAGGTTATGAGAGTTTGGGGATCTGATGAAGTTAATTATAGTCTTACAGCTCTGGATAAGACCCAGAAGCATTCAATTTCAAACAAAGGTCAGGGATAGTTAGAAAGTTTTATCACACTTAAGCTTGAACTCAAACAAGGTTGCATTGAACAGTGACGGTCCAGTGAGTATTATATTTCATAGCTGTATCAGGTACTTAGAATTCTTTAGCTCTTCTAAGATCATATCAAAAATACTAGTATCCTTATGTTTTTTTAAAAAATAAATGAGCATATTTGTATGAGCAAAACGGAATAAAGAAGGCTAAGATTCTTGTCTCCTCTGAACTATTTTGATTTTTATAAGAAGCCACAGTGAGGCCGCGAGGCTGTTCACTGCTTGGACACCATGTGTATCATGGGGCATTTCCCTTGCATTGCAGACCAAGTTCTGCAAAGTACTGGGAATGTTAACTTTGCAAACTCAGATTTCTATGAGAGTGATGAACTTACGTTTCTACTAGGTAATAAAAAGTCTCCAGGTTCATTAGCAGATATGTAGGAGATCATTAATATTAGGAGAGTCACTAGAAACATGAAGCAAGAGGAGTGGAGGGAATGTGAGGAAGAACTAAGCTGAAAACAGTTTTCTGTCCTTTCCATGGCTGCTCCTAAGATGTAGCACTGCACTCTGTCCCACAATTGAAGGTATTATATTAATTCCAGGCTTTGAGGTAAATGAATTGCTAATGTTAAAACTGCCTGTGTTTGAAGATCTCTTTGTCACTTCTTAGCCTGTTTTGTCAAAATAAACTCCTTTAACTTTTAAAAAATTTCTTTCCTTAGATAAAGCACCAAGGCAGATTCTAATTCATTTATAAGCTTTTCTTCTCAACAGTGAAATACAGAAAAATCAGTATCTAATGGTTTTTGTGCAAAGCTCAGTAAATAATAGATTTCATTTTTTCATTCTCAAAGCCAAAACTTAAAAAGCTTGTGCCATTAGGTTTTGCCAAAGATTACTAGCAATTAAACTAGAAATGATGGTAATGCTACAGGCCCCCCAAAAAGAGTATCAAGATATCAACTATTGATAATTAAAATAAACGGTTACATCTGATTTACAGTAGCAGGTGCAAGAAAGGTGACAGCTAATGGATGCAACATACCTCTATGATTCTTCACAATTTCGCAGCTCTTGGGCTTGTGGGGATGTATATGTTGATGTGTGTAAACATAATTTAGATGAGGATTATGTTTCAGATCTATTGATCTAAGGTACACTTTTCATGAATAACCTAAGATATGAATGTTTGGGTTGAACAAACATAAATGAGAGGAGGTTCTTTCATATTTGAGCTTTGTGGATAGAAACTCAGCTTCTCCTTATTACTGTTATTTTTTCAAGCTACTTGAACTAGACAGATAATTTGCTTATGTCAAGACCTAGGGATTGGGACATATTATCCCATCTAAATATTTAAAATATATATTTAGTATGGCATTGTCACCTTGGAGACCAGCAGAAATAAGATGCATATTGCAGATGAGCAAAATTTAGTCCTGAGAATATTTGCTTAGCTCATTAGCTATTAGGTAATAGTCTAGCTACGTATATGTAGTTGTATGCATAGCTTTGTAAATGCCTACTTGAAATATTACTAAATCATTTTATAATACAATTTTTAAAAATCCCTGCCTGGAAAGTTTTATGGAATCCATTTGTTTATGCTCCAAGCAAAGATATGTAAGTAACAGCATCAAATTAGACTCAATTCAGTCACAGTTGCTATAGTTTTTGCCAATAATTTTTATTTTAACCTATGCATATTTCTGAAGAATTACAAATGTGTAATTTATTGACATGCATTATTTTTGGTGGATATTTATTTTTAATAGAAACATCACAAGTCTATATATAATATGGATGAAGATAATTTATAAACTAATACCATAGAATTTATGTCTTCAGAAATATTCTCATCTAAAGAATATCTCTTTAAAAATACATATAACATTTTAGTGCAGAATAAAATACTGTACAGAAAGCCAAAAACTGGGTAACTTTTTGTTCTCTTCTAAATGAGAATACAATGATTTTGCTAATAAAGTTATTTTTGGAATAGTTTTTGTCAGAATAGCAACAAGCACTAATGTTACTCATTGTTTATTGGCTGAGATGTTCACAGAAATTGTGTGCTAAAAATTATCAGGAGAACAAGGGAAGGAGCTGTGTGTGGTATTGAGGAATTCTCATTTCTGTCATGGGCAAGAGCAACAGTTGCTGTTGCTACCTCTCCCCAGTAAAGATACTTATTTCTCTGGCAGGAAAGGTGATACTCTTTTCGGGACTGCTACTTTAAAGTGTATTACCAACAAGTTCAACTGGAAATAAAATTAATTTTCTTTAGAAAATACCAGTGGTCAACAGAAGCTCCTACCTTTTATTGTTCCCCATGTTAACATAAAACAACTTTTTTTTTTTTGAGACAGGGTCTCACTCTGTCATCCAGTCTGGAGTGCAATGGCGTGATCTTGGCTCACTGCAGCTTTGACTTCCAGGGCTCAAGTGATCCTCCCAGCTCAGTCTCCTGAATAGCTGAAACTACAGGCACGCACCACCACACCCGCTGATTTTTGCATTTTTTTTTGTAGAGACGGGGTTTTGCCACGTTGTCCAGACTGGTCTTGAACTCCTGGGCTCAAGAGATTTTTCTTTCCCCCAGCTACCGCCCCACCCTGCTGGTCTCCCAAAGTGAGTGCTGGGATTACAGGAGTGAGCCCTCGTGCCCAGCCATAAAATGCCTTTTAAGCGAAACTTTTTTTTGTTGATGTCCTTTCTCGAATTTATGTGTTCTTATTTCCTTTCTGTGTCAAAAGAGAAGCACATACCATTTAATTTTTAATAAAGCTTTCTCAGGGGCATTATTTAAAGAAATCTTCATATTTAATTAAATATTTTAAGATAATTGTGTATTATTTTCTACTTTTATATTGACATTAATTCCTGACAATTTGCCATGGTTATGACGTATATTTCTTAGCTAAGTAATCTTAACTGTGTTGCTCTTCTATAAAAGGCATAACAATCTACTCTCCAAGATGTCAAATGAATCCACCCTATAGATGAAACATTTTGAGATAATTAGAATTGTTATTATTATGATGGCCAAAACCACAACTACTTTTGTACCAACCTAATATATACATAAAATATGCATTCTGGTCACTACTCACCAAATATTTTTAAAACATGAAATTTCTCTTCTCAAAATACATGCATAGTTTCTTCCAACAAGCCCCAAAACACCATTGAGTTTCATGGTAGCTATTTTACCTATAGAAGAGGCTCACTGACCCTCTTAAGAACTTCACCAAGTTCACTGGGTTGTAATAACACTTGCTTATCTCTTTGAATTGCTTTCAGATCTAGGAACTAATAGTAGGAGGAGTGCTGTGTTGCCTGTTAAAAATATATGAACATTAGGTGGTAGTCCACAGGGTAAACCAGCTACCTGAGCATAGGCAGAAAATTGCCTGCCAGTTGGCATTCATAATATTAACATTTCCATAAGCATGAAGCATACCTCTTTCAGGATTAAGGGGTCATGCTCTTCTCATGCATGGGGGTGAATAGCATTTCCTCAGGATTTGGGTGGTTTGTTGAGAATGGAAACTCATTCTCATGAGCATACTGACATTGAATAAGAGGACGTATAGATAGAATAAACATGAATGTAGTTTCAGGAGAAAAAGGCCAGACACACAGAACTGACAAGAACTTTCTCACCACCAAATTGAGATCTAGTCTCAGCAAAAAATGTGAGTAAACAAAAGAAAGCTAATATTGGAAATGTGCTTATAACTAAAATGTGTTTTTCAGAGCGCTGTAAATGTAAGCCTATTAGAGCTACACAGAAGACTTATTTCCGGAACAATTACAACTATGGTAAGGAAAACTTCATGGTTGATGTATAAACTGCTGTGTTAAGAAAGGTGTGTGGGTGCATCCATGAGTATGTGAACACGTAAATGAGTGGAGCCATTTAAGAGTAAGGCTTAAAAACAGAAGGACAACTTTTAGGAGTGTAGTCCCTCCCTCTGCCCCAACCAATTAAAATGTCTCACATGGGCAAAATGTTTAACACTTGGTTGATGCTGAAGCATATCAGGCAGTATTGTCATCCTACAGCCATACACTTAAGTACACAGAGATCAAGATAGACGGGACTCTTCCCTACCTGGAGGCTGAAGGAGGATTTGAGCTCAAGTTGGGTTGCATAGGCCATCAGTTGTGCTTCACTGGGTGAACAGCAGAGCACTTTGATATATAAGGAACTGTTAAAAGACTCAAACTTGATTTCTTCAGTCAGCCTATACCATGAAAAACACTGACAAATTTGGAAAGTAACACTTGTAGAAGTTGTTGGTATTCAGCTAAGGAAATGTGTTGTTATCTAGCTTGACTTAAAATCCGACATTCTAATAAACTAAATATTAATTGAAGAGCCACCAATCCAAATGTAGCTGACAAACGTAACTGAAGGATTAAAAAGCCTGCCATTTTTGTGCCAGGGACTGTGCTAAGTGATTTCCATACATTATCTTTAATTTTCTCAGCTGCCCCATGAGCTATATTACCGTCCCGATTTTATCAATGATTATTGAACCTAAGTTGTCCCTTCTTTGATTGTTCACAATGTACTTTTGGATGCTGGTGTATATTTTAGAGTCATAAATTCATTTATATAGTCATTATATTTAGAAAGAGCTATTAACAGAGCTTTCCGGTTGATACATAAGGGACTGATATTTACTGTATTCCATAGGCATTTTGATTTTTTCTAATATCTATGGTATTAATAAAAGGTATGTTACTATCTCTGCATAAGACTATTGATGTTGAATCAATGAGTAAACATGGAGATTAAACAGAATTTTACAATGAATCTTATTAAAATAAGGGTTTTATTATTGCATTTATGTACACTATTTTTAAGTATATAGGATATATAGAGCAGATTTATTTTTTCTATACTTTTGGGAATTGAAAGGAGAGAAATGAATAACACTGTAAGAGTTCCCTTCAATATCTTTCAAAATGCAGTGTATTAAAAAATATAAAGTTGAAAATTTTTGGTTTAGTTAAATCTCTTTAAAACAAATCTACCTTGTTTCCCAAGTTTTTCTTCAATGGAATTAATTTTTATGTTTTGTTTGCTACTACTCTTAAGAGGAATGTAGCTTTTCTTAGTCAATGATGGATGCTCTTTCTCAGTTTGTAAGGTTATGTTTATGTAAGAAGTCAAATGCCTGGCTGCTTATCTAAGAACCTGCTTCTTTACAGATTGATGTGAAGAACCCTAGGGAAAAGGGAGGCCTTAATTTCTAGGAGATTAGCTTGTTAAGATTGAAAAACGCTATATGAACTTTTATATACTGTAACACTAAGAATAAAAACATATACATTTTATATCAGGGAAATGTAATTATTTATATTTATTTTGTGTATCCTATTATCAAGTTTTATTTTATCTAGCTTCTTTAGTGCTGCAATGGTTGTTGCTGTTATTTTTGTTAAAAGTGGAATGACAAGTCATGGAAAATGAAGAGCGTAGAGAAGGTAGCTGAATGAATATCATAAAATAAAATGGGATATGGATTATAATTAATGGAAAGGAGCAGATAATTTCTTTTTTGTAGCCAAGTAATAGCTAAGTTGATCATAGTTTCAGGATTGTCATTTGTCTGGGCTTTACTTACAGTTTCTTTGGGAAAGGGAGGTACTCAAATGATTAAATAGAAGGAAGACCTCTGAAAAGGAAGTATATTTTACTTCCAAAATATTTTTGTCTTCTGCATGCGTCCATTGAGAAAACAAGTCAAGGTGGGAGCAGTTGGAAATTCAGACAAAACCTCTATTTCATTTAGATTAATTCTGGGAAAAACTCCTTAAGTGTTAACAAAATTACTTGAGTGAAAAAGTAGGTCTTGTAGAAAGATATTTATTTTGGAATGGGTACATGTACTAAAAATTTCTAATGAAAATAGTAGACACTGGGTAAATAAATCATTAGTTTGAGAACATTTGCACAGTTCACTAATCTCTAATAGCTGATGGATGCTATGAAGCACGTTCACTTAAGCCAGGACACACAAAAATGCCTGCTAGCTGGGGTTGAGAATGTCTCATCTGATTCTCCCAAATGGCATTTCAAAAAGGGCAGTCTTATCTTTTGTTAAATACAGAATAGGGAGAACATGAATAGAAAGGGGCTCCACTTGCCAGTCAAACCAAGTGAGGACAGTTGGGTAGTTACAGTTTGTTTGCTACACGTTCTCATATTTGAGGCAACCAATTCTCTGAAGACTGAAATGTGCAGCTTTTAGAATTCATTAGTAATTTAATTTCTGTCGTGTGTGTTGTACTGGTAGAATAAGTTTGTGTGATGAAATTGGAGTATTAATGGGGGGAATGGTTGATCAGCTGGTTTTATATTTTTCACAGATTACTTTCTTCTAATCCTTTATAGTCCAAAACCTCTAAAATATGTGGGAAGGTACTCAGATTAAAGTGGTTTGCAATTATGTGCCTAAGAAGTTTTTGAAACATTGACTCATTTGGATAAACCGTGTTTTCCTCTATATAATGTCCATGGATAGTGAACTGGAGCAATAAGGGCACTGGGAGAAATGCCATTGGCTTTTCACTAATTGACATTTTTACTTCTTTCTTCGTGTTTTAAAACTTCTCTTTTTAAAAGCTCATTTACTAGAAGCAGGAATCTCAAAAACTTGACTCTTTTAAAAGGGAGAGATACAGAAAAGAAGCAGATCTGTACTTTCTAGATTCTGAGTCATATACTTTAACTTTGCAACTGAAGGCAATTTGTTGTTACACTGATAAGTAAAACAACTCTTGTGAGATAAATTGGGTGCCAATATATCCATCAAGAGAGGTAGAATAGTGCTATTGACATTTGAGAATATATTCCATAGCACATGAGGGAAAGGAATGTTGGAGTGCCTGACTTCAAAGTAAATGGAGGAAATAAGATCTAGTGGTGACAATTTTCATTCAAGAAGTAAATATAGCCCCCTTAGAGGAGAATATAAAAGATAATCTGTACTGAGCACAAAGGAAAAAAGGACCTAATATCTGAACAAAGAAGAAAATGTAGCCCACCTAAAGGAGAATATAAAAGATAATCTGTACTGAACACAAAGAAAGAAAGGAGCTAATATCTGAGCAGCGAGCCGAGATGAGGAAGGTGAAAAGATTGGAGAACCAGTTTGGGAACACTATTGAGCAGGACAATTTTATAACACTAAAGAGGCCACCACTTGAGAAAACCTGTTAATAACCTGATAAAAGAATGTCAGCAAGGAATAAAGCGTATTTAAGTACTAGGTCTTTTCATACAGTAAAATTAACATAGTTTAAATTCCTGTTGGCAGGAATTGGAACAGCACATGCATATATACACATCCAAAATGGAATTTTAGAGAAAAATTATATCAGATTATTGACTCCATTTTTGATTCTCTAAACGAATTTCTCAAAAGCACATGCACACACATGCATAAATACATGTGAATATATACATAGCCACAAATTGGAAAGGGAGAAGGGCTGGGCATTAGGAGGTCAGGTGTGTTGTTTTATGTCACACACTACAGTCTAAGGCAAAAATATCTGGCTGACTTTTCTGTTCCATTCATTGAATATCAAGTGGATAAGAATTAACCAAAGAGAAGCCTACTTTGGCTTTTTTTGAATGGGGCACCTATTATGTGTCATATTATTATCAGTTTTTCTTGTCTTTTATCCAAGTCATTCGGGCTAAAGTTAAAGAGATAAAGACTAAGTGCCATGATGTGACTGCAGTAGTGGAAGTGAAGGAGATTCTAAAGTCTTCTCTGGTAAACATTCCACGGGATACTGTTAACCTCTATACCAGCTCTGGCTGCCTCTGCCCTCCACTTAATGTTAATGAGGAATATATCATCATGGGCTATGAAGATGAGGAACGTTCCAGGTAATTCACTCTTTAAGGATACAGAATAACTACTTTGCTCATCCCACCCTCATTGCATTTCTCTCTAGAGATCTTACCCTCGCATTTTTACACTGGGATCTGTCTACCTTCTTGGGGATTACAGATAAGTTTTACTTGGGTTTCTTGATTTCATATATGGAATGGGTGTATGTGTGTAGTTTATAGGTTTACATTTTTCTTGGGAGAGGGACCATGACTTCCTTTGTTTCTTAAAGGGGTCTGTGACTCACAAATGGTTAATAATTACTGTTCTAAATCTTAGCTGTCCTATTCAAGAATAAACATATAAGTCTTTCTTGGCACTGTTTTCTTGTACTTTTCAGTAACAGGTTTTAATTTTTCAAAAATGGTTGCTTCTTTTAAAAATCAGATTACTCTTGGTGGAAGGCTCTATAGCTGAGAAATGGAAGGATCGACTTGGTAAAAAAGTTAAGGTAAGCCTGTATTTTATATTTGAAGTAATACACAGAAAACAAAAGTAGAAAACCAGCCATCTGTCATTGAAGTGAAATAGCTGCCTTCAACCATAGGAGAAATATTAAAATTTAGTATGCATATATTTATATACTCCAAGAGCTGAATTTGTCTTTCATGTCTATTTTATTTAAGGAATGAGTTCCCTGTATGTGTATCAGAGATCTAACTACAGTTGCCCTAATGTGTCTTCACAAGGAGTCTAGCTGTAGTCCAGTCCTGGTCAGGTGGTTCCATGGTGTCAGGCTCCTTTCAGCTTATGGCTCTACCATTTTTAAAGGCATCGCTTTCATACTCATGTTCACCCGGAGGTCACAAGATGGCTGCTCTGCCTCTAATCTCATGTCTACATTTCAGGCAGGAAAAAGAGGAGGTAAAAGGGATTTCCAAGAGCCTCATCAAGCAACTTTTACTTAGCTGCAAAACAGGCTAGGAAATGTAGTCCTTTTTAAACCTGGGGATATTGCTTCTTTGAACACACTGCAGTTTGTGAGAAGGGGAGAATAAATGATGGGGAGGAAAATAAACAATGATGTCCAATGAATAAACACCAATTCCTATGTACAAAGTGTAGCTACATTCATCTCTGTATAAAAGATCTGAACAAATTAGGTCCTTAGAGCAGTAATGTAGCCTTATTTTTAAGCCAATAACTCTTAGATTGTGGAGTTGATACATTTTTTAAAATCACATAGTACATTACTGTATTATAGAAGGTTTTGTTTCTTCTTACTGCACTAAGCAAATCTGTTTTAAAGAAAAGAATAGGGTGGGGGAATGCATAGGGGGACAAAAAAATCTCAAAGGCTGTGTGGGTGGGTGGGGGGATGGGAACTGTAGCACACGTAATACATCCTCTTCCTTCTGCAAGTCTGAAGGCTTGGGAAACATTTACATGGTAAGTTAAACACCCCTGGGCGGTTTATCTTCTACATCTGGCACTTGACACGGCAGACACGTTTGGGTTTAAGTGACCTACGAAAATGCAGAGGGCATTATTCTGTAAGGAGAAGCTACCCTCCAGTAAGTTCTTCCCCCCTTCAGTAGATTTGTCAAAAGTGAGATGCATTTCAAGTTCAGACTTGTGGGCATTCTCTCTGCATCTCTCTTCAATTAGTTTGGTGTTTATTAAAGAAAAAAGTGGCCCTTGTTCAGTATGTTGGAATCTCTTACTGTCTTTTTAATTTGGTTTTCTGCTTGCTAATGCAGAACAGGAATTTGTCCTAAATTCCTGTACCAGTTGGAAGAGCTTTCAGTATCCCTGCTGCAAAGCATGTAACAAGGCTTACTGCTCCTCTTTTGGTACCAAAACAATATCATTGGGTTGTCGACAGGATACATGGCTTGTTTGTCCTGTTTCCCATTGCTTTCTGCAATATTCCCCATTGTTTTCTGCAGGGGACTTGCAGAGTTATTATTGTAAAGTCATTTATATTCTTAGTCTGGATTTAAATATTCTAAAGGAAAGAAACCAATGATTTGAACAATTTTAAATTCATATGCAGATATTGAGGGCTAAAGAGTTTGGGTAGAAAATCTCCTTTGGCCAGAATTATTGAGATTCCTATTTTAGTTTTCCAGTCGATTTGAAGATGTGTAAAAAGAGCTTTATGGAGGGTGTTATTTTTTCAATCAAATCTGCTCTTTGCTGAGTTTTGCTCTCAGTGGATAATTCAAGAATAAGGTTTATGAGAAACCTTATTATTATGTTTTTTTCATGCAAATGGTTGTTTACCTAAGTCTCTTATAGCAGACTATTCAAGATGTTTGGACTTCCTTGGGAAGGTGAGAATCAGGCTGTTTTTAAAAAATGAAGACAAGATTGTGGAGTAAAGTATACTAAAATGAAGAATTACTTTCAATAATGGAAAAACAATAACAAATTTACTATGTGCTAAGCACTTTATATTTTTATCAATCTTCAGATGTATCTTCTACTTATAAGTAGATTCTATTATCAGTTCCAATATATACATGATGAAAATAAGGTCTAGTAAGTTCAAGAACTTCACACAGTAAGTGGTGGAGTTAGAATTTGAACTTGGGCCATCTGACCCAAGGATCTGATAGTCCTTGCTGTTTAAAGTGTAGTCCCAGGACCAGCAACATATGTATCACCTGGGAGCTTGTTAGCAATGAAAATCTTGGGCCCTGTCTCAGACCTACTGAATGAAATTGCAATTTTAACAAATTCCCCATATGATATCTGTGTCTGAAGTTTGGGAAGTGCAGCTATAGTTTGTATTCCCTACCTATCCTCATGTAATATAACTTCCATTTTACTTAAATTACATAAAAACATTATTGACATTAATATGAAATGTCACTAAATTTGATTGTGTTTATTAAAAGCATTGTTAATGCCTGCTTTGTAACACTTAGAATGAGGGCAAGACCTTGTCTGTTTTATTCGTTGTACTTGGTGGATATTACTTAGAAAAATATTTTTGAGACCTCCCCATCCCTCAAAAAAATTTCCATTGTTTTTCAGTGCTCAAATCACATAGATTTTAAAAGGCTATGTTCTTACATGTATTAAGAGAGGATGTTGAAAAATAGCCTTCCCTTCAAATTCTGTGTGTAAATCTTCCATTTGTTGAGTACCTGTGAAGCATCAGCCTCCTGGCTGTTACCTCAGGAAATACCCGGAGATATAGGGAGATATTTCTGTCATCATTTACAGACATGGACATTTTAAGTTTAAGGTTTGATAAGAAAGCATTACTAAATATATTATAGATGGGCAACTTTGCGCTCGTTAAAATAAGAGAATAATGTTCATATTGCATCAGTTTTCTTGTTACCCTGGGAGATAGATTTATACTTCTGGAAAACTAGCAAAATGTTTCAGAGATCTGACCTTCAGTCTGACCCAGTTGTTAGAATCGTGGCAATGATGACCCTGGTGATATGTGCTTGTGACTATTTTCTATTTTACATTTCACAGCGCTGGGATATGAAGCTTCGTCATCTTGGACTCAGTAAAAGTGATTCTAGCAATAGTGATTCCACTCAGAGTCAGAAGTCTGGCAGGAACTCGAACCCCCGGCAAGCACGCAACTAAATCCCGAAATACAAAAAGTAACATCAGTGGACTTCCTATTAAGACTTACTTGCATTGCTGGACTAGCAAAGGAAAATTGCACTATTGCACATCATATTCTATTGTTTACTACAAAAATCATGTGGTAACTGATTATTACTTCTATTTCTCTTTTGGTTTCTGCTTTTCCCTTCCCCCAACCCCTTTGTAATGGTTTGGGGGCAGACTCTTAAATATATTGTGAGTTTTCTATTTCACTAATCATAAGAAAAACTGTTCTTTTGCAATAATAATAAATTAAACATGCTGATACCAGAGGCTCTTTGCTGGAGTCCCCAGATGTTAATTTACTTTCTGCACCCCACTTGGGAATGCAATATTGGATGCAAAGAGAGGTTTCTGGTATACACAGAAAGCTAGATATGCCGTAAAACATACTCTGCCGATCTAATTACAGCCTTATTTTTGTATGCCTTTTGGCCATTCTCCTCCTGCTTAGGCTTCCAAATGTTTATAAAGGTAAAATGGCAGTTTGAAATCAAATGTGACACAGGCAAAGCAATCAAGCACCAGGAAGCGTTTATGAGGAAACAACACACACAAGATGAATTATTTTTGAGATTGGCAAGAAGCAAAATAAATAGGAGCTTAAGAAAGAACATTTTGCCTGATTGAGAAGCACAACTGAAACCAGTAGCCGCTGGGGTGTTAATGGTAGCATTCTTCTTTTGGCAATACATTTGACTTGTTCATGAATATATTAATCAGCATTAGGGAAACGAATTATAACTAGACATCTGCTGTTATCACCATAGTTTTGTTTAATTTGCTTCCTTTTAAATAAACCCATTGGTGAAAGTCTTTATTTTTTTCTCGTCTTTTAAAAGAAATCAGAATTGCCGTATTGACCGGGAAAAGATTACATACGCATATGCACCAGGGTGTTAGTTTTTAAAAGTACATAGCTCTATAAAATGCTGTAGATTTAGATGATGAAATGTGCAGGGTTTGGTTTTGTTTTTTTCTGGTGTGTGTGTGTCTGTATTTGTGTACATGTGTGTCCGTGCACTCACACCCAAGGTGGATTAAAATACAGGCCTGCAAACTGGCCTGCACGTTATCATTTGGATTTATGCTGCTTAATGCTCAGTGAAGAATGTCTAGTAAAATGAATTATGGTTGTCAGGAGAGAGGTTATTTGACTTTTGAACCAATTGCACATTTCCCATTACCCAAGCTGCAGTGAGATCCCAGGGGCCGTGGTGACCAAATGATGCTTTTATACATGGTCCCTAGCTTACAATGATTCAATTTACAATGCTTCAATTTAACAATTTTTTGACTTACAGTGGGTTTATCAGGATGTAACCCAATTTCAACTTACGATATTTTCAATTTAGAATGGGTTTATCCAGATGTAACCCCATCGTAAATGGAGGAGCATCTGTACTTCCTTCCTCCAGCAGAGTTCCTTAGAGCCTGGGCCAATTACTTGAAAGTCTCATTCTCTGCCATTTACATGTGTGTTATTAGTAGAACCAAATTTCTAAGCTGTGGTGTGCTGAAATTAAAATGCTTATGAGGCAAAAAATAGTGCTATGTTTCCTTCGACAAGGATAATCGAGCAAGGATGAAATTCATTAGTGAACAAAAGTTTCCTAAAATGGTAAGTAATCATCTATCCAAATGTTCTCTTTTAAAAGTGTGAGCTGGGTGTGGTGGGTGCACCTGTAATCCCCCGACTTGGGAGGCTGAGGAAGGAAGATGGAGAGAGCCCATGAAGTTGAAGCTACAGTAAGCAACGATTGTGGCCACTGCACTCCAGCGTAGGTGATAGAGCATGACCCTGTCTCTGTAACAACAAAAATGTGAAAGTTGATTCTACAAATGAGTCATTCGTGTCATACCCAACTAAAATGGAGTCGGGAGGCCGTGGGGAAAGGCACCCAGGTCCTGTTCAGGGAACTGATTTTTCAGTACAACAGAAAATCCACGAAGACTTCACTCGAACCTTAAGATAAAGTTACCTAGTAGCTGCTGCCACTCACCAATCAGAACTTGCTAAATCCTGCAAGACACTCCTGGCTCCAGTGAACTTTCATTCAAAACCATTTAGATCACCTTCCTCTCTTCCCCAATAAAACCCCAGCCTTTCTCTTCGTTCTTTGAACACACCTAGAGGCTACACTGGTTTGTGTGCCCAGAATTACAATTGTAATTCTTATATTCCCAAAAAAACCCTTTACTTGGAGATTGATCTCTCTACATTTAAAGGTGACAGAGTAAGGGAACATTCCTGCCTTCTGATTGACTCTCTTATGCCAACAATTTCCCCAGCCCCAGAAGAAAACATTCCCACCTTTGCCTATAGGACTGCATAGTCTTTTGAGCTTCCAAAAGACCACTTCCAAAGGGCTTGCCATCTGCTCGTTGTTGCTGTATTCTCAGATGGCAAGGACATCTCTTTTGAGGTGCTGATGTCATAGCCTTAAAAGGTGAGTTGGGTGTCACTGGGGAGTAATGAAGCACCACCGTGGAGGGACTGCCCCTGAGAATCTCTCTTCCTGGTATGTAAACCTCAACTTGAGCCTGAGGACAGAGGGGTAGAAAGCAGTGCTGGTGCCTCAGCCTGTTTTCCTCAGGCCTTCTCACGTTAACTCTGAAAAGAAGGACAAGAATTGACTACAGGAGAGGTTTAAAGAAACTGTTATCTCAAATCCACAACGTCAACTCTCTCAAAGCACAGTAAGCAATGTTAAGTAAGGAACTCTTTTGATGTATAAAAGCTGCAGATGTTTCCAGCGTCTGCAGTTTTTTTGTGGGGGTGAGGGTTGGGTAGAGGGGGTATGATCAGTTTCTGTGTAGGAATTTGACACACTTTATGCTTAATATAAACAAAAGATGGCCAGATTCTTAGATTTAGCAGTTTTGTTTTTTTTCTTAAACCACCTTCCATTTGGTGCCATTTTACAACCTACTGTTTTACCACTACCATCTATAGTGGCAATGTTTGATTTTGCTCATCTGTATGAGGCTTCTGTCAGCTGTTTAAACATTTCTAATGGTATAAAGTCCATGAATAAAGTACATTTGGTTTTTCAGTTTGATAGCTACAATATCTTCATTAATAAACTGTGCAGACCTCTTTTGGGAGGATGGCATGATTTATCATGATGGTCATGTTTCTCATCAGACTGCAAAACCATTTCTACTCTAGTTGCCATAGTACAAAGACATCTTGTTAATGCCTCTCTACAGGGTTTTCGTGCAGATACTAACTTTTAAAGCCACTAAAAATTTAATATACATGCATCCTTGTCAGGAACCCTGAGATTGATAAAATTTATATTTCTTTAGAAAATTGTATTCACCTTTGGGATTTTAATTTTCTTAGCCAAATAAAAGTCAGATGCATGCTGAATAAAGTAGCAAATATTTAAATAGCAGCAAACATGGATTCTCTTTTCATGGATACGTATTTTACTGTGTCACATACAATGTAATCTGATTCAGTGCCATATGTTGCACCCAGTGTTCAGGGGTGGGGTGAGACAAACTGTCTTTCCACATCTGTCATACATTAAGAAGGCAAATACAAAAGTTATAATCACTGTGCGCAAATCGTACTCCCTATTACCTTCTGCAAAAAATTATTTGCTATTACATTTCAACAAGTAAGATGACTAAAAGTATTTCAAGATTGATATTTAGCATGGAGTTTTAACATATTTTAATACACAAAAATTCAAGAAGGTGGTAAAAATAAAGCAGAGACTTCTAATATGGTGTTACTGAAATCCAGCCTATAAAATTTAAAAGTATGGTTCCCAGATGTATTAATATTAACAAAAACAGTATAGTCATACCTTTCATAATTATCTGTTTGGGGTAATAACATCTAACAGTGGCAAGAACGCTATACGAAACACTTGTGCATATGTTACCTCACTTAATCCTTGAAAGTTGTTGAAGTAGATGTTTTATTCCCATATAAGAGATTTTTTTAAAAAATGAGGATTTAGAACTTCAGAGTTCTGTAAGTAGCAGAGCTGGGCTTTAGATCCTCATAATCTTATTTCCCAAATTATGTGTTTTCCACCATTGCTATTTCTGATAAAAAGGTAAATGCATCCTAGCATTGTAAAAAAAAGAAAAAGCATAGTGTTAGGCATATAGTGGTAGCTAATATTTCTTAAACTGAGGTCTACCAACTATGTCAGAAAACCTTTATAAGAGTCCCAACTCTAATCCAAGATACTGTCACTTCACCTCTTCAGGTTTCCTCCCTTATTAAATCAGAATTTCAGTAGAATTATTTCCATACAGGATGGGTAGGTGAATTAAGTAATTTTGGGGGCATTAATTGTTTAAAAATATGTGACTCTCAGTTTAAAAAGCATTCTTCAAAGTTTCTGTTTTCCCTTGAATTTGGAAAAAAGTAAACAGTTAATCTTACTTAACAACACCTGGAAGAAAGTTGAAATTAAAAGTTGATAATTATTACAAATAAAACCAGAATGACTACTGCCATTGGGAACTCTCATTTCTCCTTTTCAGATTATGCCCCCTATTTTTCCCACCACCAGAGTCCTCCATAATCTAGAAAAACTATTCTACCTGACCTAATTCCCCCTGCTTTTCATTCATAAATATTTTCACTATGACAGGAATTCAACATGTTAACGCAAGACAACTAAACATGTTTTTCTTTGGATGAAATGCAAACATTTGTCATGTTTTTACTTAGGTGGTTGTTGAGAACTTAAGGAGTTGTCCCATGAAGAAGGAAAGGTTGTGCTCAGGGAAGTTTGTCCAAAAAAAAAAAAAAAAAAAAAAAAGGATTTCTGGACTGTTGAGGAAACTGACACAGAAATGAAAGAAAATGCAGAAAAGAATTTCCTACTAACCACAGGGATGTGGAGGGGAATGACCCCACTCATTACACAGTGGTACTGCGGCCACTCTGGCAAACAGCCACCACCTCCCTCCCCACACACTTAGCATCATGATGTGGGATTAATGTTATGATTGCAGGGTTGGACTTAGGATAGTCTGGGACCTCAGCGAGGGTGGGTCGGGTGATGTCTGAAATATAGGTTAGCTCTGAGATGTTAAGAAGTCAACGAAACAGGGAACAAAGGATTTCTTGTTTATACTGGGTGGTAAATCCAATAAATAAAGCAAATCCAGTTCACTCTAATGTCTTTATTTCTACATTGTTTTGGTGATTCTGAGGGAATCATGGCTTCCCAGAGATGGTATCCCTGTCCTAGCACTGAAAAGCAGAATTTGAGTTGAACTCTGGGAAAACGTGGCAAAAGGAAAGATCAGTATGAACAGAATTCCTGTTGGAAAACTTTCTCTAGGACCTAAAACTCAAGTAATATGTCAAAGCTTTAAAAGATGCATGACGCTCCAGGTGAAGTCTTCTGCTAAAAAAACAACCAACATGTTTAAATTTGACTTTTTCTTTCCTTCTCATTAATTACTGGAATTGCCATGAGTCCCTTGCTCTGTGAAGGTTTCTCTTTCTTTGAAAAGTCAAGATATGGTGTTTTGTAAGTGATCTAACCAGCCAGCTCTTTCTAATAAAATGTGGCCTAAGAGAAGAAAAACAAAACAAACAAACCAAAAACAAAAAAACAAAAACAAAAAATAACCATGAAAATATTATACCCACAAATACTGAATTGTCCTGTCTGCTTACATTCATCTCTTTCCCTCCTGGCCATTCTCACCTATTCTGCTTTTCCTCATATTGCTTGGCTAATTAAATCAAACACATACCCACAGGAATATTTTCAGAATTGCTAGAAGATCAGGCATGATGCAAATAGAACTATCTGATATTCTTTAAATTCATTG